AAGTTATGTGGAAAATAGTGGGCAGACCAATGTTTAGCGGAACTTGTTTAAATGAATATATTCTTTTTGTTGTCTAGGTTTATGTTAACAATGTTTTGCATAAGAGAGTTACATAATGAATACATGAAGAATATAAATGTACCGTCATTATTATTTATTATTGATATTATTACAAAGCGTTAAGAAAACAATCTACACATTTTATTGTCTTTTAAGCCGGATGTATATCTTTGATGCGATAGCTGCCACTATCTCAACCTCTTACCATCAATAAAATCATATTCATCGGTTATCCTATATCAAGACATGGACCTTTTTAAGAATGCATCCACAGTTTAGCATTCTAATGACTGGGAAAATCTTAATCTTAATAACTAAGCTAAAAGTTAGCATATTTATATCCAGATTATGTAAAAATGAACGGTATCTTAACAAATAATATGTTTGAGATACTGTTCAATTTAACTTAATATGGTTATAAACCACCAGATATTATGTTAGTGGTTGGACTACTTTTCTTTCTTAAAGTCCGCGTTAATTGCCCATTTCATACCGTAATACCCAAAATTGCAAGGTCCTATGTAAAAGGTACTAGATTCCGACTCACAGCCGTTATATAAAACTAGTTACTCCGCGTCGTGCGCCATTCCACAAATGATTATGCCAGTCAGTTGAGCTCCGACAAAAATGCCGAATTGCAGTGTATTTTCATGTTAATAAAAATTTTACCTTGGTCATGGATGAAATGAAAATTAAGCTGTTGATGGAATACCCTGCTAGCAACCATTATGGCTATGTGGGCTACAGACTTGATATTTTATATCCGATTATTCCGATGAAACTACTGTCAAATTAGTGTTTTTATTGCTCGGCATAAGCACAACGTGGAAAGTAGCTATAGCCAACTTTTTGATTAAATTTGAATTAAAATCTGAGTTTGATTATTCATTCCAGTTTTTGGCCATAATTTTATTAATAAAACCATAATTTAATATTACACTAAAAAACCATTTACTGCTGGCCGTATGAGGAAGCTCAAAGTAACTCAGCGAGTAACGGAGGCGACTATGCTCGGTGGTTTCTGCATGATAAACGTAGCAATAAGGATATCCGCAGTAGAACCAGAGTGACAGACATAGCCAAATGGATTAGTAAGCTAAAGTGCCAATGGGCAGCCATATAGCTCGAAGAACCGATAACCGATGGGAAATATGGTTCTCTAGTTTACCAGTCTTGTACCCGTAAGCGAAGTGTAGGGCGACCCCCCAATAGATGGAGTAGTGACCTGGTATTGCATGCAGGAAGTCGATTTATGCAGATGGTTAAGGACCATGCTTTGTGGCATTCCTTCCTTGGGGGAAGTCCAATGTTCAGCAGTTGTATTGTGAAGAGCTGTAATGAATGAAAAAACACTAAAAGTCACTTTTAGTTGTTCTTTTTAGTCGAGCACGAAGAGGCAGTTCTGCCTTGGGAAGTGATCCAATGCGACTATGGTGATATAAGCGAAGTAATAGTGCAGTGTGTAAAATAATAGTGTTGTGAATTAATATTGAAGTAAGTGGTGTTATAATTTTTGCAATTAAAATTAAAAGGATTTGATGCCTAAGAGTATACATACTCGTATTCATTTTCTTATAAATCTTTATCCAAGTAAATATTGTACATGAATAGCAGCTGTTTTTTAATTGTTACAGGTCGGTTCAATATTTAAAAATGGCAAAAAGGACGCAAGAGTAAAAAATCTAAACCTGGTACAGGTAGTGAAGGTTCAAGTGTTATCGACAGTGATACTGCTACAAGTAGTTCTGTACTTCTGTGGATGATGTTTCTCAGCGTGTTTTAGATGTGGGCTATTATACGGGATCAAACACCAAAATTGATGATAATTTAAAGTACAGACTGTTGAAATCTCCTTGGATGCCAGAAAAGACATTCAAGTTTCCAGTAAGTGGCGGTAAAAGCAAGCTAAAATTTCAAATGCAATGGTTTGAACGGTTCTCGTGGTTGGTTTACATGAGTACAGGGCAATAATAATGTTTATTATTTGTCAGAGATTGCGCAGATAAGGCTGTCATCAGCAGTTGAAATCCTTAGTTACTCAGTCGCTCACTAAACGGAAAGAGTACATGATTTCAAACATCACAGTGAAAGCCAGTACCACAAACCTTCTATATTATTGGCTGATCATTTTATGAAGGTGTATAATAAATCTCAACCAAATATAATAAGTCAGATTCATAGCGGATACCTAGCGCAAATAGGTGAAAATCGGAAACGGCTCATTCCGATTATTGAAACAAATTATGTGGACGTCGGGAATTGGCACCGAGACATACGTGAGACTCAGGTGCAATAAAAATCAATGATACTGAGCCAGAAACAAATGATGGAAAGTTCGTGCTATCTTACGGATGAGAAGCAGATGTGGAGACTCAAATCTAATAAATCACACAGAAAATATGACGTTGAACGCTACCTACCTAAGCCCGACCATACAATATGGACTTATTGTAATTCGTGGTGAAATAATCCAGAAAAAAATTGTGCAAGGATTAAATTCTGCGTAATTTTTTCGATCCTTGTTGACGAAACTACTGATGTTTTACTACAAGAACAGATGTCCATTTGTCTAAGATATGCCAAGCCAAAAGATAATGAATGGATTTATCTTGCGTGAAGATTTTTTAACTTTTGTAACGTTGAAAATACAAAAGGAAGATATTTAGTTAATGCAATTTTATCTGAATTAAAATCTTTGGGAGGAGATTGCGAATATTTAGTTGGACAAGGATATGATGGAGCTTTTTCGATGAAAAGAAGTTTTAAAGGTGTGTAGGCAGTAATTCGTGAGTCACATCCAGAAGCTTTATACGTTCATTGCAGCTCACATTCATTGAATTTAGCTAAGGGACAATCTTGCCAGGTTCAGCCTATTTGAAGTACTATCGGAATTATAAAATCGGTTGGAAATTTTATGAAATCCTCGGCAAAACGAACCAAATGTTTAAAAGATAATATCGAAAAAAACTTCTCTGAAACACAATGGAAAAACCTTACGGCAATGTGCAAGACCTGCTGGATATAAAATCATGATGGGTTGTTAAGATTTAAAGAAATTTATAAAATTATTGTTGATGCACTAGACGACTTAAACTGACTGTTATGGATTTTGAAACATCGTCAAAGGCTAATACTTTTCTGAGATCAGTCATTTCAAGTGATTTCGTTATAAGCTTATGTTGCTTAGGAATATTGTTGTCGTACACACTGACACTATGCAAAATACTTAAATCTTTCCTATGTGATTTTGCAGCAGCTTTACAACACGTCGATTTAATTATATAGACTATTGAAGATTTTCGCCAAAATATTGATTCAAAATTTGCTGAACTTTTCAAGAATGCACAGAGTTTGCTCAGTACTGTAAACGAGGAAATAAAAATTCCGCGAATAACGTCCCGTCAAGAGCACAGGGCAAACTACAACACAAAACATCCTGAAACTTATTTTAGAATTACTATAATGATTCCACTTTTGGATGATTTCATTGATCAGCTTCAGCCGAGATTCCAACCTAATCATAAAGCCACATTATCATTTCAATTCCGTCTGTGTGTTGCAAAGAACAAATTAATCAAAATTATCAAGAAAACTACTTTGAGCTCTATAAAAATATTTGGAATGGGACTTTGTAAAAGCTGAATAAGACATGTGGCGGATAAAATGGGTGGAAGAATCTGAACTAGATTGACCAACATGTGCTATTGAAGCTCTCAGAGAATGTAACCAGGCCTTTTTTCCAAACATTTACAAACCTTTAAAGATTTTGGCGACACAGAGTGTTTCTACATATACTCCTGACAGAACTTTCTCTTCTCTGAAACGCCTCAAAACTTATTTAAAAAACTCCCGCGATTCAATTTTGCATTTGTATTGAAGTACACAGTAGTGTGTTTTCCTCGCCTCCCCCTGAAAGTGACAGACTTTTTTTAGGAATTAACGCGCATGGCCTCTCCAGCTGGTTGAATATTCAAAGAGTAATACGTCGACTTTGACAAGCTGACAAGCTACCACATTATTCCGTAACTGAATCAACACATGTTTAATAAAATAATGGTGTTTTATTTTTAAACTTTGTTTTTGTACGAAATACAAATACATGTTGTATATTTCTTACTCAGGTATATCCAATGCATACATCAAAAGTTATATCATTTGACGACGGTGGAATACGAAGAGTTTGTGGGCATCGTACTTTCAGCTCGCACAGCCTTCCAGTTGACACCAGAAGGCAATACACAGTTCAAAGAGTGGCTCGCTTCATTGCGCAGGTATGGTTCTTACAACTTCAGTTATTTATTAAAGGTAAATAACACTCCAATCAGTTGAAATACTTTTAAAGATCTGGAAGAAGAATATAAAAAGAAAGATCAGTATCAGATTATCAGTAATTGACATCGGTTTCTTGTATTCAAACAACATCTTATTTATGTATTTCTATTAATAAAATATAATTTATTTTCAAATGCATACCCGACCAAGTTTTGAGGCACTAACGAATTCAAAATATATGATGGACGAATTTACTAAAAATGATGTCTACTTAATTAAATTATTAAAAAATATAAAATTGTAGACGAAAAACAAAGATAACAGTATTAAGAATAAGCAATAAATAATGTTAAAGTATCTTGTTCTTTCACATAAACATTTTATTTGTATATTTTTTAATAATGAAAATCTTATATGACTTGAAACCGGAAATGGAATAATTTTTATTGAACGCATGCTAAAAAAAATATATGGATGTTATATTTTTAATACGGTGGGACCACTCACCACATTGCAGCTATAGAACTATTATATATTTTGACTAGTTTAGGTATTTTAGCCATTATTCAACGCGTTTGCCAAACTGCTGACTCGTTTTCAGATCGAAGTCATGCAAGAAAGACTTATGGACACAACTGAATGCCGCGCTTCAGACGAACGGCAAATGACGCCGGCAGCCGATAGTTTGTATGGTGCGGTGCTCCGCGCGCAAACTGTCACAACACTCGCGTTGGCCGCGCTACCGGCTGCTCTATCACTTACATACTCTCTAACTGTGCACTGCTCTGTGCTCTTTGTAACTTACGTCTCGTACACGAAATGTTTGCGACCTCTGGAACACCATTGACGTAGTGAGGTAAAATTACGTCAATGGTTAGGCACGCCTTGTATCAAAAAGTGTATTGAATGTACTTAATAAAAAATATATATAATGACAACTCCGTGATAGACAAATTACATCTATAATAATGAGATGCAGTTCTCAGTTAAAATTTCTTCGGATTTAAATTACACGGTCCTAAAGTTTGGCTTCACCGCTTGCAAATCAATCAGTGAATATACTAATACCGTAATTATATATCGGTTATATTTCGTTACATGTCACTTGTGTTACAACTGTTTTCGCGAATAATAGACGAAAATGGGTAAATTGCACAAATATTAAAATTTTCAAATATTTGCTTGTCATATAAAATCTGTTAGGCTTTGGCAAGTAGTGTTTCCCTCAGCATATCTATGATAACTGAGCTGTATTTTGTATCAATCTGGATAAAATGTAGAGGTGTTTTCTATTTGAATCGGGGGTAATGCGTGCATATCCCATTTGTACTTGAAAACGAGACTTAAGTCACAAAACAGCACTTTGCATTCACCTTCAAGTCCGGTTAGGACGAAAATACCTCTGTTAGTAATAATTTTAATACTTTATTGAGGATATTCGATCTCAATTATAACAAACACATTAGTTTTGATAATCACAGAAAAAAATGTTGCTAATCCCTATCCTAAATCTGTATACATACTCGAGAATGAGATCTAAAATATTAATTAGTTGAAGGTTTGAAGCTCATTGGAAGGTTGTGCTTAAATCGTGAGAATCAGTTATAACCGGGGCTCTCCAAAATAAAAAATAAATCTTCGTTTCATGAAGGTGTTTAGCAACATTTTCTTTGCTCACTTGAACACAAAAAAGCCATGAGTGGGCTCTTCGTATTTTTTAGTAATTAAATCGTTTTTAGGATAAGAATTATAATTATATAAAATTATCATTGAACTTCAAGTTTCGTTCACATTTTTATGTATTAATTTTTCAAATTATATAATATTTAGTGTTTTACACAGTTTTAATATACCTATGAAACTTCATGAACAATACCACCACCACAAGTAATAGCCATGTTATATAATATATTTTAATCTTACTTATTTTTCAGAAAAAACAGAAGGAAAAGAAATGCTTGAACAACGTATTAGTTCATTATAAATAAGTAAATGATTTATATCATAAGTTTTTATTAGCAGATTGGAAATATCATTTATAAAAACATTACATATTTATGCGATTTTTAATTCCTTTATTTTTAAAATGCGTTTTCGGATTTAATGATGAATATTTTAATAATGTTTGCTAAATTATCAGACTTTCCGGTTAAAATTCAAATAATCCACAATATTAACTTTTCGCTTTAAACTGCACTTAAATTGCACAAAAGGTTCCATATCTTGCATTATATGTTTGAAAACATTTTATATAATAAGCTGAGCTACTAGTCAGTAAAGCAGGGCTGGTTTTTAGAAGACCCAGTGGTAAAGTACTCTAACTCTTTTTTTGTGTGTTTTAATGAGAATATTGTTTTGGTATCTTACAGCAAAAGATCTTGATCTTGTCCTTTGCTTATGATGTTAAATTAAAATCCAAAAATGTTAATCAAAACTGGAAGAACATAATTTACAGTATTAATTTTTAATGGTTTTAACGATGTACCTATTTCCGCTCATTTTGACTTTAGCTTTGCACTTCTGTAGCTATTTTTTAAATTCGTTTGAGCTGAAATTATTAAAACAGTTTTGGTTAACATTTTATAATATTTTAGTTAAATTTAGTAGCCTATTAGCCAACATTTTTCGTGAAATCTTTAAGTTTCGAATTATCGTTGTCTAATACGGCCTGACTCATGTGTAAGTTCATTAGCGAATTATTTTAAAGATCTCTGTGTATTTAAGTAATATTTTAGAACTGTAACAGTGTCTTTTTGTGTTCTTGTTCTACTATTATTATAATAATATCTAATTCAGGAATTTTACAAAGTCTTTTCAAATGATTTCGATATTCAGTGTGTTGATGTTGGTTAAATATTTTGCTAAAGGTTTTGCCTTACGGCACCAAAGTAAAATGGAGTCTGCATAGATAAGAATTGATGTTGGAAATCACGTGGAAAGGCGTTCGTAGATTGATTAAAGAGAGATGAAAAATTCAAAATTTATAACAATAGTCCACTATATATTGAGAATTGGCTTAAGATGTTTCAAGTGACCTAATTAGCGTCATTAGACTACAGATTTATTAGACAGATTGTAGATGATGACCGTCGATACACTATTTTTGATATTCTCTTGTCGAAATTTGCAGTATCGCGAATGTTTACGTTGTGATGTATTGCCGATGAAAACGTAGACTTGCGTTCGATTAACTATAGTAACTTTATTTACACGTTTATATTATTACTATTATTATATTGTAATGCGATGTAGATTCTTGAGAGCCTTTTGGAGTATAATGAATATAATGGGTAGGACGGAAGCTGGTAACAAACGCAACGCGGGACTCCTTTGTCAGATTTAGAAGACTTTTTAGCGGGTATCGATAACTGTAGTTCACTTTGTACTGTAGAGGTTCTATATAAATATATAAATATATAATTAATAATATATTCGATAACGTGAAAGTTCTTCCGCCGACTTGAAAGCAATAATAAAATATCATTTTGTAAAAAAATAATATTAGTTACATCGTGAGTAATAGCTATAGTTTTGAAGTTCGTTGCGATAAGATATTACTTGAGGTTAAACGCCGTTATCAGCAACGCTATATTACTATATAACTCGATATAAAATAACTAATCTTGCTAATAGTTGACGAAAGTTTATTCAAAAAGTATGCAAATAAGTAAGTATAGATATAAATGCTAGAATCTGCAAATAGTGAACGTTTAAATGTAATTAAACGAGAAGCGAGTCAGTGCTCGGGGACGTGTGTAATTTGCAACTGATCACAAAGTATCGCAATTACTATGTTTAAATTACAGAGAGCACCGATTTTCCGCTTCGATGATACATTTTGCGTAATGCGTCGAAACTTATTATGCATGTTAAATAAAACGGTTCCACTAAAACTCATGAAATATTGCAATTTGTCGAAGCTGATTAAAATTAAGTAAATAGTTATATTTATCGCATGTTTCTTCATTTTTTTTTAAATTTTAGATTCCTAAACGTCCTATTGTGAAGTCCACACGTTTTTGTAAGTAATTGAGAAATTTAGTTGCAAACGGTTAAAAGGTATAGGTGAATTAGAGTAATTGCCTTTCAAAGGGAGTCTTAAATATGTTTATCCAGTTAATAATAAAATAATGCAACTAGCGATACTGAGATATGAAACCACGTGCTACGATAACTGAAACATGACATTCAAAATTAACATTTACTTGATAGCTATCTAGGCCAAATCAAGGTGTGTTCGTAGAGATGGTTACAATCTGACATTGGAGCTTGCGTTTTGTTGCTGGTCTGTGCGTCGAGTAGTTTTAGTTCAATATCTTTATTAAGTAGATGTTTATGCGCATTCATTTATGTGTGGATGTCCTCAGCATTCAGTAGTTAGTAAATTTTTAGAATGCTAGTTAGTATAAATTGACGTTTGTAACGATCGGACTAAGAAAGCTATGGAGATCCTTATCTTCACGTTACATTAAAAAAAAGTTGTTAACATGACTCTATATAACAAACAGTTATTTTCTATGTCTTAATCGTTTAAACCCATTATAACCCAATAACCCATAGGTACTAGCTTTTTACCAACTCGTTAATAATGCACTTTGAGTTATCTGTAACATTTTGCTTCAGTTTAGCGATGAAGCTTCTGTGCTAATTTTATCTCTTGTAGATAATATTCGATGGTATTAGTTGAGTTTTTTTTTCAATTTTAATTATAATAAAGTGTGTACTGTTCTTGCATGACCTGTTTCTTCGTAACGTCTTTGCCGTCCAATATAATTTGCAAATCTTTACGAATATGCATATTTAGTTGCAAAAGCTTCCTAAAAATATGACACGCCTATCTCGATATTTACAACAGATTACTAAATAATTTATTACATACATGTTATCCTCGTTGGGCATTATTAACAATTTCTGGTATCTATAGATTGGTCGGAGAAATTTTTATCTCCTTAAAGCAAAGCAAAAAAGTGCTTTGACGTGTTGTTTCAAAGAACTATTTTTACACTTAAAAGCATATTTAATATAAAAAAATATAAATATATCGTTAGTTTGATAAATATAAGAAGTTAGGGGAAGGAGCATATTTTAATTAGTCGTTTAATGCATGTCATAGTTGTAATTCGCTCAGTTAACAGGCAAAGTTGTGAAATAGTTGGCGTTGGATTATTTTCGTTGCAGTTCGACGATCACAAATCAATTTCAAGTTTAAATTACAGAAGCACGTAACAGTTGCAATAGTCTGATGCTAAACTTAAAATCAAAATTGAACAAGCATAATTTTTGAATATCACAATTTATATAGGTATTTTAACGTTGAACACTTACAACGGGGTTTTTGCAGAGTACACAAGTTCATAGATATAAATTAGAATAATCCATTAAATTATTTTTAATGACGTACTTTAAATCGAGCTCGTTCTTATACGCATACGTACAGGTTTTCGTTATTCTAAAACACATGAGATGACACAACTGTAGGTAGATGTTATGTGACATAATATGCTACCTAAACAGCAAAACTGGTTTTATTGATAACGTGCGTTCAGCAATGCCCGTGCAGTCTCTCACTCAACTACGTCACATCACAACCAGCAGAATGCGTCGAGAAATAATGTATAGCATGCCTGTTTAGTTCTAAATTGACGATGCATAATTTATTTATACATCT